TTCCCGGAAGAAGTAGTAAGAAGCAAGGTCCCTTGGGCCACATTCAGGACCTGGGGAACGCAGAGTCGGGAAGATCTGCCCTTGCTGGTCAGTGGGTGACTGGATTTTGGCTTCCAGTGCTGATAATCATTTTTCCTAGGTCCTGTCCTTAGTTGAATGTTTGGACCCTCCTACTTCTTATTGCTTCTGGAAAGAAAATTTTTGTGAGTCTTTAAGATGTTTTCTAAATCCCTTTGCACACACATTTTATTGATCAAGGTTCCAATATGATGTTTTTGCTTCAATCCCTTTATCTTTTAGTTCAGGGAGGTTGAAATCTAAGTTTTTCCAGAAGGAGCGTCAATCACAGCCAAAAGAGACTGCATTTCCTGGTTACTAAATCAATACAGCTTAGGTCTACAGGATCGGGCTAATTTCTGTGTTGTTGCATCCTCGTCCCAGACAGCTTCCCCCCTTGGCATGCTCCTTACCACAGATGTTCTCCTATTGTGAATTTATGCCAACGATGTTCAAAGTAACCACATTAAGGGGTAAAGCCCCAAGAATCAGGGGAAAAATGAAAGTAAAAAAAGAAAGACCCACACATGTACTATTTACTAGATAATAAAGACAAATATGTTCACATCCTGTCATCTCAGGCATGAATAACCCCAGAAATGCTCTCAGAGAGGAGGCCCTGTCAGGAAACACTGCCAAGTTTCTCATTCCCCTTCCTGGCTTCCATTCTTACCTGCCTGCTCTTTTTCAGCCTCCGTTAAGGGCTTTCAGTTCTTCCTGTGCTTTGTTAATTACCCCTGTTTCAGCCAGGATCACAGCTGGTCTGGGAGGTGAGAGGTACAAAGCAGGAAGATAGATGTAGTTGCAGGTTTTTCCTGACATTGTGAATGGGAAGAAGCAAGAACACATCCACTGGTCTGTTCTCCTTGCCTGTTTTCCTTTTGTGCCCCCACCAAGATGACTCATGCCCCTGTGCTCCAGGCAAGCCCTGCAGCCTCTGTCACTGTGTGGGACGCACAGATCAGGGCACGTACTCCTCTTTTCTCTAAAGGACGAGTCTCGGTTTACCTTGGTTGAGGCCTCAGCTAACAATTCAGACCCAATTACCCGAAACTTGCTAACAAAGGTCAGGAAGCCCAAGGAGAGGGAGTTACGGGTAAAAGGAAATCCAACAGTTTGTCAAGAGTTAACAAAAAACCAGGGCTGGTGCAGCATCTGAGCTATGGTCCATGTCCTTCAATATTCAAGCTTGGAATGCTTTTCTGGGGAGGAGTTTCTAGTGGCTAATTGTCAAAATTTACATTGGGGGAGAACTGTTACCTTGTCCTACGGGAATATTGCACAGCCTTAGATGCTCCTAGAGCTGTGTAGAGTCTAGAGGGGTCATTGAAGGGTGCTGCCTCTCAAAGTTTGCTGCTCATTAGAATCATGGGGGTGGGGGAGAGGTTGTTTTATAAAATCCTAATGCCCAGATCCCACCTCTGACCAATGATATCAAACTCTGTTTGTGGTTTTTAAGCTCCCCAGGTGCTTCCAACGTGCAGCCAAGTTTGAGAACCTGTGGGCCAGACCCTTACTATTGGATCTGTGGTTCGTGGAGCTGCAGCCCCATCAGGGAACTCATTAGAGATGCATATTCTTGAGTCCCACCATGGACCTACTGAATGAGAATGCTCATTTTAACAAGATCCCCATGTGACTTGTATGTGCATTACAATTTGAGAAGTAGTTACTTTTCTTAAAACATTGGGCAGTTGGCAGCAATGGGCCCAAATTCTGTCTACCCACTGGAGCTGTGCAGTAGCTTTTCCCTTAGCAGGGCCCTCACACTCCAGTTTGCCAGAGCCCCACACCTGGATGGATTCATTAACTTCCATTACCTGCCTGGGCCCAGTTAGAATTGGAATTTTTAAAAACCTTATTATAAAATAAAATTTACCATTAGTAACACATAGTACATTCACAATGTTGTGAAGCCGTTACAACAGAACATTTTCATTACCCCAAAAGGAAGTCCCATACTTACTAAGCAGTCGCTTCTCATTTCCCTCTCCCCTCAGTCCCGTCTCCCCTCAGTCCCTGGCAACCACTAATTTGCTTTTTTGTTACTATGGGTTTGCTTATTTCAAATGTTTCATATAAAAGAAATGTATAATGTTTTCTTTTCTTTTTTAAAAAACAAATTTATTTATTTATTTATTTTGGGCTGTGTTGGGTCTTTGTTGCTGTGTGCGGGCTTCCCTAATTGTGGCGAGCAGGGGCCACTCTTCGTTGCGGTGCGCGGGCTTCTCATTGCGGTGGCTTCTCTTGTTGAGGAGCACAGGCTGTAGGTGCAGGGGCTTCAGTAGTTGTGACACGCGGGCTCTAATGCGCAGGCTCAGTAGTTGTGGTGCACGGGCTTAGTTGCTCTGCGGCATGTGGGATCTTCCAGGACCAGGGATCAAACCCGTGTCCCCTTCATTTGCAGGTGGATTCTTAAGCACTGTGCCACCAGGGAAGTCCCTATAATGTTTTCAAGGTTCATCCATGTTGGAGCATGTGTCAGTACTTCCTTTTTATGGCTGACTTATATTCCTTGTTTGGATACGCCACATTTTGTTTATCCACTCATCATTTGATGGACATTGATGGTAGTTCCAGTCTTTTGGTTATTGTGAATAGTGCCGCTATGAACATTTGTATGCAAGTTTTTGTTTGAACACCTGTTTTCAACCTTTGAGGACTTGAATTCTACCTGGGAGTGAAATTGCTGACTTATATGGTAATTCTATATGTTTAACTTTTTGGAGAATAGCCAAACTGTTTGCCATGGGCAGCATTGTTTTACATTCCCACTAGCAATGTATGAGGATTCCAATTTCTCCACATCCTTGCCAACACTTGTTATTTTCTGTTTTTTTTTTTTCCTTTTAATTCTAGTCATAGTAATGGGTGTGAAATGGTATCACACTTCACTTTTGATCTGATGCTTTTCATTTGCATTTCACTAACGATGAATTCTTTTCATGTGCCTGTTTGGCCACTTGTATATCTTCTTTAGAAAAATATCTATTTAAGTCTTTAGCTCATTTAAAAACTGTTATTTGCCTTTTTGTTATTTAGTTGTAAGAGTTCCCTTTTCAGATACAGGTATCCCTCGCTTTTCAAGTTTGCTTTATCTCAATTTGCTTTTACGAAAGACCTTCATTAGTACCTGTTTTCGCTAACAGAAAGAAATGTGAAGAGGATTTCCACTTTCAGGAAAAAAGGGGAAAAGCAAAAATAGTGTTCGAGTTTGTTTTGCATGAGGCAGTATAGAGGCAGCGCGCTTTGAGAGAATGACACCACCAAGCTCCTTCCCGGGGAACTACCTTCAGCATCTTAGCATCCAGCTGCCATAGCTTTGAACTGTGTCTGTGAGCATGTGTGCTTTATCTCGACTTATTTTGTGCATGTGAATTCGTTAGCAAGATGTGTCCTAAGGTAATTGCTTCTTTGCTTTATGCCATTTTGGCTTAGAAAAGGTTTCTTAGGAATGCTCTACTTTTGGATAGGGAACATGGAAACCTGTTTATGATTTCCAAATATTTTCTCCCATTCTGTGAGTTGTCTTTTCATTTTCTTGATAGTGTCCTTTGATGAACAAAAGTTTTCAATTTTGATGAAGTTAAATTTCTCTAATTTTTTCTTTTCTTGCTCGTGCTTTAGGTGTCATATAGAATTTGAGATTTTATCACCTGGACAAGATCAATGGATGGGGAGCAAGAAGAATCTGAGGAGAAAGGGAGTAGGGATGGCTTGAGGTCTCTGTCTCCAGTTCAACCAGAAGAGCTCAGCATTTCTCTGCTTTATATAAGGTCCTCCAGTTTAAATATACATATATTTGATAGGTTAGAACCACTAGTTTGTGCTTCTCAAACTTTTATCATTGGATGTTAGTGGGAAACCTCAGTGTGCCAGCTTGCTCTAAAAACTAGTCCCAAATGGTATATGTAGTAATTAAACTTAATGTTTTCTGGCTTCAGTTAGGTTTTATTTGTAATAAAGAAAAAGCATACATTTTTAGAAAATCATGCAGTGTTTCTTTTGCTTCATTTGCCACACGTTTGGGAAGTCAGGATTTGGCCCAAATCCAAACCCACTGTCTACCTGGTGGTAGCTCATCCACACTGAAGAAATATTCCAAGGAAAAGAAGACAGCCGAGCTCAAGCATACCAGCCTTGGGAACCTGCTGCTGCATTTGCCTGATGTCACAGCAAGTGAGAGTTTAAACCCAGGCGCTCTCATTTCGAATCTAAGACACTGTCCTCCTAGGCCAGGTGTTGTAAGTAGTCAGACCAATCATCTATTGATCTCTCTTGATTGGCACTACTATTACTACTAGCTGCCATTTTATTTTATTTCATTTTACATTTTTTGGCTGTGCTGCTGGCATGCGGGATCTTAGTTCCCCAACCAGGTTTGGAACTCGCGTCCCCTGCATTGGAAGCACCGACTCTTAACCTCTGGACTGCAAGGGAAGTCCTGCCATCGTTTTTGAAAGCTTATTATGTGCCAGGCATTGTGCTGAAAGGCTACATCCAATCTTCCCAACAACCACGGAAGTGGTTCCGTAATTATCCTCATTTTACTACTGAAGAAACTGAACTCAGGTTAAATAACTTGCTGAAGTCACACAGATGGCAAGTGTCAAAGATAGGATTTAACTCAAGTCTGACTCCAAAGTCCATATTCTGAGCCACCAAGCGAAACTATTGTTTTAAAGATGACCATCACCGATCTCTGCCACGGCCCTCCCCCTGGGTTACAAGCCGGCCAATATTCCCCGCGCCGACGCGTGCGCAGACTCCGCCCTCCGCCCCTCCCTTTCCCACGTGCTTCTCAAATTGCGCAGGCCCTCTCCTTGTCTGAGGCTGAGCCGTGGAGCAGGCGCGGAGGTGGTGCCGGCGCCGGCGGGGCTTGGGCACGCTTTGGGTAGCCAATGCGCGTGCGCGGGGCTAGAGCCGCAGTCCTTGGGGGAGCACGGAGATGGCGGCCGCCGGGGGAGCTTCGTCTGAGCCGGCGGTTTCAGAACAGCCGGCGGAGCTGTCTGCCGCGGTGCGGGCGAGCATCGAGCGGAAGCGGCAGCGGGGGCTGATGCTGCGCCAGGCCCGGCTGGCGGCCCGGCCTTACCCGGCCACGGCGGCTGCGGCTACCGGAGGTTTGGGCCCGGGCGGCGTCTGCCCCTTCCCTTTCCTTGCGGACCAGGGGCAGCGTCTTGGGTGTGGCGTGCCCTCGCTTCGCGTTTCCGCGCAGGCCCTCCCGCAGTCCCAGGTGCAGGGGGTGGGGGTGGGATCCGCTCAGCGGGTCTTGTCACAGCGGGCTGTCCGAGACCACCGGGCGACTCCTGACTCCCAGCCCTGGCGTTTCCTCCCTGCTCCTGGGCGGTCCTTAGCTTGGGAATGCAGCCGCCCTCGCCGTCGGGAAATGCCAGCCAGTGCCTCAGCTCTCCCTTTCTGCTCTCTTCCTGCAGCTTCCACCGGTCCCAGGGGTAGTTTTTGTGTAAAACTTTTAGACCTTGTAACACATTTAACTAGTGGTCCTGCACCAGCTTCCCTCAGTCATCCATTTAACACAGGGTGATTGAGTGCATATTCCGTAATCGGCATAGTGCTTGCTCCGTGCTGGGAGCAAACAGACGTTAGCTGCTGCCTTCGTGGGGCTAACAGAGTGGCACCTGTTGTGCTTCACGTTTTTCAAATTGGCTGATTTGATTCTCGCAGCTAACCTGTGAGAAAATAATTAGGACAGGGTTTGGTATCCGTGTTTTACTGAGGTGGTAACTGAGGATCAGAAAAGGAAAGGGTTTGCTCAGGTGCATCCCAGTAAGTGCAAAGGCTAATCAGGACTAGAACTCGGGTCATCTGACCCTGGGTTCGGGGCCTTTCCTTGCTCTCCAGCTGCCTCTGCTATACTAGGCATCTCTCTCACCCATAGGAAGAAAGGCTGTTATTCTTGTTTGGATTTCATCTTTCCCTTTTCATAGGGCAGCCCTTGGCGGCTTATATTTGTCTCTGCCTATCATGTATGTGTCTATCATGTAATTCTCTAGTGGGGTCAACTAATAATTTTTCTCAGGGAAATACAGTTTGGTTGACATGTGGTTCTTCAGGACCACCTCTATAATGTGAAGCACAAGTGTTCCTAAAACTATATCCATACTGTGTGAGCCATTGAGCACGGTCAGAGCTGTGTCATCCACTACGCTTTTTCATCAGCCAGAAGTAAGGAAGAGTGAAAAGAGCGAGCTGCGTGTCTTGATATTCATACTGACACTGAATCTGCAAATTGCAACCAGTTTTAATGGTTCTGGTCTCATTCTTTCTGCTTTATAGTGGTTTTCTTTTATTCCTTTCCCAACTTGAAGCGTTCTAGGGTCAGGACAAAAAGTCCATCTGCATTAATTAATTCATATTCATTATTCCATAAAGGTCTCTAGATCTGTACTAAAAGACCGTGGAACATGGGTGCAAAATAGAGCATAAAGTGGTATTAAACTAAATGTCTGATAATGGAAAGCAAGGTAGCATGAATATTTTGTTAGATTTCTTAGGTATTTGCCAAAGAACTGAACTGTGTTGCAGCATTGTATACAACCTGCTGTGCTTCAAGAGTTGGGTAGGTGCTGAGATTTTTAATCTTTGTAGTACTTTTATTTCAATGTACTGTACAGTTTTCATTTTCTGTGTGTGCTATAACATGCCATGAAAAAACTGAGAAGAACTTGCTTAGAATGCGTTGCTAAGAGTAGTGTTAGGGGCCTGGGGAAAAAACAAGGCATAGCAGTAGAGAGAAATTGGGCTTTGTTTTTGGCATGATTTACCATTCATTGTTCAGGATCCTGCTCAGATTATGGTCTTGATTACTCCAGCTTCCCTTCTTAATTCTTACGGCACTCATGAATGATCATTCTAATCATTCGCTACACTATTCATGAAATCAAAATCATATTCTGATACATTCATTGATTTCTATCCAGTCAGTAAATATTCGTGGAATGCTTAACTGTTTTTCAGAATTACGGAGATAAAAGCACTCAGTCTAATGAAGGGATGTAGAGAGATGGACAGACAATGTGGTAGAATATGAGAATTGCTGTTAACAGTAGAAACAGGCTTATACTCTAATTCCTTTATTTGATAAATTGAGGCCAGAGAAGGGGAGTTTAGACTTAAGCAAGATGATACCTACTAAATTTGTCTTAAAAAATTAGTTACAATGATGAGTCTTACATTAATGTAAATAATAATGTAATAATAATGTAAATAATGAGTCTTACATTAATGTAAAATGCACTCATCTGAATTTTACCTATGTGAATACTCATGTCAATACCACAGCAATCAATATACTGTACAGACACTTCCAGAACCTTAGAAGTTTCCCTAATGGCACTTCTTAGCCATTCACCCTCAGAAGTAACTATCATTCTGACCATTTGATTAGTACTGTCTGGTTTTGAACATCATATAAATGGAATCATACAGTAACTGGCTTCTTTTGCCCAACATAATACCTGAGAGATTCATATGTGTTGTTGCATGTGTTGGTAGTTTGTTCATTTATATGTTCTGTAGTACTCTTTTAGGTTGTTATACTGTAGTTTTTCCATTTTCCTTTTGATGGAAATTTGGGTTGTTTCCAGTTTGGGGCTGTTATGAGGAAAACATTTGTGAGCATTTTTGATATGTCTTATGGTAGACATATGCACTCATTTCTCTTGTGTACATGCCTAGAGATGGAATTCTGGGTTATAGGGGAGATGTATATTTTAACTTTAGCAGGCATTGCCGAACAATGATTATATGAATTTAAAGTCTTACCAGCTGTGTGTGATGGTCCCAGGTGCTCCACACCCTCATCACCTGGTATTGTCAGTTCTCTTCATTTTGAGTATTCTGGTGGGAATGGTGATATTTCAATATGGTTTTAATTTGTATTTTCCTAATTACTTATGATGATGAGACCTTTTTCATGTGCTTACTAGCAATTTGCATATCTTCACTTGTGAAGTTTCTCTTCAGGTCTTTTCCCTTTTTTTAAGTTGGGCTATTTGTCTTTCACTGGTTTGTAGGATTTCATTACGTATTCTGGATGAGTCTTTTGTCAGATATACATATTGCAAATAGCCTCTCCCGATTTGTATCTTGTCTTTTTACTCTCATAATGGTGTCTTTTGATGAATAGAGGTTCTTAGTTTTAATCAAGTTCAATTAGCAGTTTTTCTCTTACGGTTAATACATTTGTGTCATGTTAAGAAGTTTGTGGCTACCTCAAGTTCATGGAGTTATTCTCCAGTGTTCTCTTCTAGAAGCTTTATTGTTTTACCTTTTACCCTTTACATTCAAGACTCTGATCCATTTAAAAATTGTTTTGTGTATATTGTATGAGGTAGAGTCAAAGTTCATTTATTGAAATAACTGTCTTTTCCTCACTGTTTTGTAGTACCTTTGTCATAAATCCTAGCATCCTTTATTGAAAATACTATCTTTTTCTCACTGAATTGTCTTGGAGCCTTTGCTGTAAGTTAAGTGACCAAATATGTGTAGGTCTATTTCAGGACTCTCTCTTTTACTATCAATACATTGGTCCCTTTGTTTTAGTACTATACTGTCATAATTACTGAAGCTTTGTAGTAAATCTTTAAATCTGGTAGTGTAAATCCTCCAGTTTTGTTCAGGATTATCTTGGCTATTGTGTGTTCTTTGTATTTACATATAAATGTTAGATCAGCTTGTCAGCTCCCATTACTCCTCCCCCTCCTGAGCATGCCTGCGCACGGGCGCGCGCACACACAGACACACAAACACACACACACACACACACACACACACACGTGCGCCCACCCCCACCCCCACTCCGCTACTGCTGGGGTTTTGAATGGAATCACATTGAATCTTTAGGTAAATCTGGGGAGAATTGACTTAGATTTCTCTTAGTGGTGTTTTCAGTATAGAGGTTTTACACACCTGTTCCTAGGTATTATTTCTTAATTCTAATTGTAGATTCTTTTGGATATTCTGTATACATAATGACATCATCTGTGAATACTGTTTTAATTCTTTTCAGACTTTATGCCTGTCTTGTTTTCTTGCCGTAGTACAGTGGCTGGGACCTTCATTATAATGTTGAATAGAAGTGGTAATAGTGGACATCCTTGTCTTGTTTGATATATATTAAATTTATTTATTTATTTATTTTTTTGCTGTACGCGGGCCTCTCACTGTTGTGGCCTCTCCTGTTGCGGAGCACAGGCTCCGG